TGCCTTCTAACAAAAACAAACTAAACATACATTGGTAAAAGAAAGATTTATAACCAATTCATACAATGAAAAAATACGCAGCAATTTTTTAAATGAAGCAGACCTAGAAGTTCTGATTTGAAAGACTTGCTCAAGATATATAAAGTATAAAAATGTGTAAAACTGAATTTCATGTTTGACTACAGATACAACTTCTAGGATAATATAAAAAGTGTTAAAAGCGGTAGTAGGAACTGGGACGGGGTGTCAGAAAACTGATTTTTCATTCCATACCTTTCTTCATTGTTGGAATTTTTATCATAGATGTATTCACTTGATGAAGAAATAATGTATGGTTTAAAATTCAGCTTATGGGAATAGTTTAAACTAAGTTGAATCTTTACTTCAGTGATATTAGGGTTCAGGCCACAGAAAATTTTAAAAAGGAATATCTTTTTATTTGGGACACTGCACCCCTCCCCACTCCCTTCCTGCTTGATTTTTCTTCCAGTATTTGCTGTCAGCTGACACTCTAGCTACTCACTCCTTCATCTTCTAACTTCCATCACGCCCCACTGGAATGTACACCTCCTAAAAGAAGGGACTGGGAATTTGTTTTCACTGCACGATCTTCAGCATCTATAACTGTACCCTGCATAGAGTTTCCATTCAACAAATGTCTAGCAGGTGAATGACTGAATTAATGTACATTTAAAAAATCTGCCCGGCTTTACTGTTGAAAAACATAAGCTGACTACTGTCAAGATGTTTAATTAGCTTTCTGGTATCTCAGGTTTGCTAGCTATGAAAAGAAGAATAATATCACTGCTCTGGTATAAATATTCAGGTGAGTTTGTACATACATACTTTGTATTGCCAGACCTCTTATCTATTGCTGGTGCCAATGGTTTCAGTGTAACAGAGAACTCTCTAATTTCCTCTAATCTCCTAGCCTTCAAACGGGTTTGTTGAACTGAATTTTAATGTTATCAAAAAGGGAAATAATCTCATTGCCACACTGGGTTTGCATATTTAAAAGTACAAGTTTGCATATTTAAAAGTACAATTTGCATATTTAAAGCACAAGAGCTTCGTTTTTTTGTTTGTTTGTTTGTCTGTTTGTTTTTGAGTTGAAATCTCACTCTGTTGCCCAGACTGGAGTGCAGTGGCCACTCCAGGCCACCGCAGCCTTGACCTGCTGGGCTCCAGTGATCCTTCTGCTCAGTCTTCCAAGTAGCTGGAACTACAGGCATGCTATCACGACCAGCTAATTTTTTGGTTTATTGTAGAAATGAGGTCTCGCCAAGTTGTCCAGGCGGGTCTCAAACCCTCGGGCTCAGGCAATCCACTCACCTCGGCCTCCCAAAGTCGCGGGATTACAGGCTGAGCCACTGAGCCCGGCGAGCTTCGTTTTTTTTTTAAGATCAAAACTATTATCTTATCTTTTTATTATTTACTTATTTATTTATATTTTTATTTCTTTGTCTATTTTTTGAATAGGGATCTCTGTTGCCCAGGCTAGAGCGCAGTGGCATGGTCACGATGATCATGGCTCATGGCAGCCTCGACCTCCTGGGCTCAGATGATCCTTCTGCCTCAGCCTCCCAAGTAGCTGAGACTACCAGTGCACACCACCATGCCTGGCTAATTTTTTGGGTTTTTTTGTAGAGACAGGGTCTTGCTATGTTGCCCAGGCTGGTCTTGTGCTCCTAGGCTCAAGCAATCCTCCTGCTTTGGCCTCCCAAAGTGCTGGGATTGTAGGCATGAACCACTGCATCTGGCCCCTACAAGAGCCTTCCTCTGGCCCAATTTCTGATGCTCATTTTGCTGCTCACTGCTGTCTCTTGTGCATCCATCCATTCATTCCCTATAGACAACCTTCCCCTTGGCAGCCTCCAGGGATCTGTCCTGACACATGCCGTCTATCCCTCCCAAATCAAGCACAAACTGAACAGCTGCTTAGACAAATTTTTCCTTCCCTTTAGTTGACTCACTGTCAACTGAACTGCCTGCATGAACAGATGGGATAACAGGTGTGCTGGGAGGAATATGAAGTTTGATACAAGTATAAAGAAGTAAAATTAATACAAAGATGACATTATAAATTTAAAGCTTTTGGGGGGGGCTGCAAAACCTAAACAGTGATTACTGACTTTAACTATTAACCCTGATGAACATCCAAGAAGTTTACACCCACTACTATTATGATATGGCCTGGAATGACTTTTCCCACATCTCACTTAGGCCAGTCTATACGTCAACGAAATGCATAGCTTTCACCAGTGAATTCTTACTGACAAAATGAATGTATAGTCCAATGGCATCTCTTGACTTAATGTCTAAATATTAGAGAGGCAGACACTACATTCAAGTTTCAAAGAACTTCGATTTGAACTGGGTCTGCTTACCCTGTTCTGATCCACTGTCTCAACTTTAGTACTAGATGCCAAATAGTAACTAAAGTCATGATGGGTAAGTATTACACCTTTAAGATAAAAGTGAGTAAGGACCCATGGGACTTAAAGGTAAGTGTCGAATAACAGATCTAGCACAAGCTGCCTTGGTAAATGGTGAAAAATTGAATGAAGGATTTCTTATATTACATGACCAGAGACTCTGTATATATTCTTCAGATTAATGTTTAAGATATGTTATAAAGAAAAGAGGAAGAGAGAAAGAGGAAGAGAAGGGAGAGAGAGAGAGCGTGTGAGCACGTGTGCACACATGCACGCAAATACACATGCTCAAGCCCGCCCTGCCCTTTTGGTCTTTGCCAGTTTCAAAACACGGTTCCAGGTTCAGAATCCTGGGCAGGAACAGCAGAAAGAAATAGTGGCTCTCGCCAGGCACAGAGGCTCATGCCTGTAATCTCAGCACTTTGGGAAGTGGAGGCAAGAGGATTGCCTGAGTCCACGGGTTTGAGACCAGCCTCTATAATTAAAAAAAAAAAAAATTAGCCAGGTATGGTGGTGCATGCCTGTAGTTCCAGCTACTTGGAAGGCCGAGGAGGAAGGACTACCTGAGCCCAGCAGGTCAAGGCTGCAGTGGCCATAAGCATGCCACTGCATTCCAACCTGGGCAACAGAGTAAGACTCTGACTCAAAAGAAAAAAAAGAAAAGAAATGGTGACTCTCAGGGGTCAGAGTCCAGTGACAGGAACATATCATCTTATTGATCTAGGAGTCCATATTTTAAAGTTCACTTCCACCGAATAATTGGCTTGTGATAAAGGAATATGACAATATATTCATTTTAACTCATGTTATTCAGAAACGAACATGAGAAAATATCTGAATTAGGTGTCCCCATTGAACTCACAAAACTCCAGCACCTACCTGTCTCCCACCTCCACAGACTGCTGTGAGAGCCTTGTATAATCCAGCCCCCTGCTTTCCCCAACCTCATGTCCCATTTTCCTCACCTGCGTTCACTGAAGTGTGTCAGGCTGGTCTCATCTTTTTCCCAGTGTGCATTGTTGTCCCTGTGCCTTTGTTACCCTTTCATTGGTTCCTTAACCTGGAAAGCCCTCTCCTCACCCTTATCTTTCCAATTCTGATCACACTTCAGACATGGGTTGAAGTCCTATCTTCTCAAAAACCCTTCCCTGAATTCTCCATCAGACCTTGTTGACTCCTCTCTCTTCTAGAAGCCTTTATAAAGCACTCATGTTCTGAGAAGCCTAATTTCCTACCTTATCCCATCCACTTACGTGTCATGTGTTTTAACCTTATTTTTCCTACCTAGTTCTTAAGATCCCTGAGAGCAGACTGATTTACTGACTGTGAGAACCCCTGAGAGCATGGTTTATTGGCTCTGAGAAGCAAAATGGTGAAGCAATGAAGTCCAGTGCTCATCATACCCACCGGTTGGTGGCTGATGGAAGGGTTCATGATAGATCACTCCCCCAGAATTGGTCACAATCCGCAAGAGAGTGGATCACAGCTGATCAGCAGAGAGGCTCATGGCTGAGATGCCCTGCCCTCTATGGAATAATCTGCCTCACTGAACTTTTTGCAAAGTGGGATGGGAAAGGAAAGAAGACAGGAACCTAGAAAAATCTGCAGAAAGAGAAATCCTTTTTTGGCTACATTCTTTCCAAATCAAAACTAAGATATTTCCTGTTTTTAAGTGAGAGCTATCAGAAGTGTCCCATCAGGATACACCACAGATTGACTTACAGCACACACTTTTATCTTATCCAGTACCTATCATTTAGACAGAAAAATGTTGCTGACAGTAAATTTATGGTGGAACCCTCTACTGGAAGGTTACCTTTGGAGAAGAAATACTTCCATAGGAGTGAGACAAGAAGTCATGCGGGCACATGTCTAAACCCAACATGCTAATGCGTGCCTCAGAGGACACACACATAAAGAATGTTGAAAGAGTATGAGGTTTTTAATATTACCCATCCAGACCACAACTACAGAAAAATAAGAGTTCTGTTTTAGGGACATGCCCAGTGAGGACATACCCACATGTTATTCCTTGAGTTTAATCTAGAAAGTAGGCTACTGGTGGCCTAATAAAGTTTTCAGGCTTTAATTCAGCAGACTTTTATGCAAATACCTGCTGTGTCCAAGTGTGTACATGTGTATATATGCATGCATGAGAGAGAGAGAGTGAGAGAGAAACACAGAGGGTGAGAACTTGTGGTTGGTGTGCACTCAACCCCCTCAGAACTAATCCTGAGAACAGAAATAGAGCACAGACCTGTACACTGATGTCTAACTACTCAAAGAATCAGGATCCTTTTGATATGTTTTTAGACTCCTCCTCCCACTTTGCTGCCATGACAATGAACTTCTAATTGGAGGGGCAATGTGGCTGAGGCAGCTTGCCATATACTTAGTAGGGAATTAACTTCAACGGGTCCTTGGGAGAGTCTACTTCATGGAGAAAGCAGGACCAAGACAATAAGATCTGCTCAGTTTTGCCCTTCCAAATCTTGGCAAAGCCCCAGGACTGGCCTTGCAGGCCCAGGAGAATCTAAGCCTCTCCATCAAGGTCAAGTCTGTTACCTCCATCGCTGCAGGTCCTGGAGTCTGAGGCCAGGCTGTCCGTGGAGCCGGTGGTGAAGCTGACGTGGACACCCCTGAAGGATGGGCTGAGGCTCTCTGCAGAGCCCTGGCTCACTTGTTCCAAATCAGAGCTGCTCTTGTTCATTTTTAAAAGATGCCTGGAAAAGGTAGGAACAAACAATAAAATAACTCAGTTGGTTTCCATTCAGAAACCCGGCTGATGGATTGTGAGCCTACTCTGCTCTTGAAATCTAGCCACTGTCGGCAAGTTTTTAAAAAATGATTTTGGGGAGAGAAGAGGCTCTTCTGAAACCTTATGCACATGAATGGCAGGAGACTTCCCATATGTGGTTAGAAGAAGTGAGTCCATTAAATTTAGACAAGCACCAAAATTCTTACTTGGAAGGAACTGCTCTCATATTCCGACTCCGTCTGCCAATACGTGTATATTGTCTATTATATCCTGTGCAACATCCCTATCAAGAAAAAATTAAAACATGATCATATACATCAATGTATAGGAATATACAAACATTGGGTAATTTTTGCAAGGTCAGGACAAATGAAGTGCAAACCAGGCCTAGAAATGTAGGATTTCTTTTTTTGCCTGGTACTCTTGTCATACCTTCAAAAGTTCTAGGTTGTTCCTTAGAATTAAAGAAAACTTTATTTAAATTTTAACCAGATTTCTAGTGAAATATTTAGATAGAACCAAGTTAACTGGCTCTTATTCCAGAATTGTGCTATCTGTCCTTTGATTTTCTATGAAATCTTTTGTGCATCTCGAAGAAAGTATTACCAATATATATGGGACAAGAATACCAACTTCAAGAAAAAACAAACTCAGCTTGGACTAGGCAGTTCTATTATTAGGCAGAGTGTTTGGCGTATTGATTTCTCCTTCCCTCTTTCAAAAACCACATGAATATTCACTATGACCTGACATTTTCACCATGAAGGGAGACAGCTCACAATCAATCCAGCTCCCTCTCTGTCGGGGGTAACCCACATTTGTCTGAACTGTTATTTCCTGATGACAATTCTTGTTCCTGCTATAGCAGATCTATATCTCAATATCTGCTACAGAAAATACACAATACAGTATTGATTTGGCATCAGAGTTGCCTTATTTAATGCACATGACCTCACAGTCAAGAATTCATCAATTGTTCTTTGTGTTCAACATTGCCAGGCCCTGCATTAGATTTCATAGTCATTGGAATCCCCGTTTATTAATGGAAAAGTTTAGAGAAAGTTTGTTTGCTACCGTAAAAAGTGCTCTTTAGAAAATATGTCCCTCTCCCCACTCCCAACCATAGAACTCCATTAAAAAATGTTTCATATATAAGTGTGGCAGTGATGACAATGTTATGACTAATCATTGTTTTTCAATAACATTGTCAGGATCTTTGGAAATATCAAATCCTTAGGTATTGCTATGTCAGTAGATGATCTTTATTTAACCCTCTGGCAAAATGCAACCATACAAAGTTTCATGCAATATTTTTATCTGCATCAGATCTGTCACTAATGGTTTTCTCTGGTAAAGTGAGGCTATGAAGTGACAAATAACCAAAACTCTGCCATCATGGAGAGAAGCCAGCTGGGTGGCAATCTAACTACTTTGCCCCCTCCAAAGTGGTCTCTAGAGTCTTTCAGTCTTCAGGCCCACAGCTACTGAGCTGGGACAGCTTCCCACACCACAAACTTAAAAAAAAAAAAAAAAACAACTCAATGAAATGTATGTAAATAGACAAAACTAAAAAATACATAAATATGTGTATGTGTGAGCATATATGAATATTCATATACATGTATGTACACACACATTCACACACACACATAATTATTCAAAGTAGCAGCCAAGCTTAAAAGAAAGACACATTCTCAGTTGCCAAATGCAGAGGAAACTCAATACCGGGAGCAGTACAAGGCATGCTGCAATACTAAGGGATGTCTGCTGTAGGTTTTGGTAGATGCTCTTTATCAGGTTAAGGAAGTTTGTTTCTCTTCTAAGTTGTCTAAGAATTTTGTATTTTTAAATCATATATAGTTATCAGATCTTATCAAATGCTTTTTCTACATCTATGGAAAAAAAATCCTATCATTTTCCTCTTTTCTTCTGTTAATGTGATGAGTTACCTTAACAACTTTTCTTAAATTAAACCATGCTTGCACATGTTGCATAAACTTATTTTATTATACATTGCTGGATTCAGTTTTATTAATATTTAATATAGGATTTTACATTCAAATAGAGGCTGGCCCATGATTTTTCTTTCTTGTTCTGTCCTTATCCAATTTTGGTATAAAGGTCAAATTAAAATCACAAAATGAATTGAGTGACTCTTTCTTTTTTTCAATTACCTTATGTAGTTTTTATAAGATAAGGCTTATGTGTTTCCTGAAAGATTGCTAAAATGTGCTTATAAAACCATCAAGACCCAGTTGCTGTATGCGTGATATCAGTAAAGATTTGGTTCTCATAAATCTAAAAGCAGTATTTTCAAGACAGAGATCCAAGCAACAGGCCCCTGTATAGAGGAACCTGCTATGTGACAAAGGTGGTATTACATTGATAGGAGTAGGGACATGGCAATTCATGGTACTCACACTAGCTATTTATGATAGGAAGAAAAAAGAAAGTAGAGTTGTATCTCACACCATGTGCAAACATGAATTTCTCAACAGGAAATAAAAATCCACTAAATTTTCAATCTGTTTGAACAAAATATCAGAGAAAATCTTTATGATTTTAGAGTAGGGAAGGATCCCTTAAATAAGATATTTCTTTAAAAAAAAAAAGAACCATAAAGGAAAAGACAGATAAATTTCACTTCTTTAACATTTAAAACCTGTGTCTGGTAAAAGGCACCATAAAGAAGTGAAAACAAACCTAGGAGTGGGCAAATCACATCTCTTCAACTCACATAACTAATAAAGTAATGGTATCCAAAATATAAAAAGAGTGCTTATAAGTCCAAAAAACAGACAAATGACCTTATTTTTAAAAGGGCACTGAAAAGGAACAAGATACTCACAAAAAAAGAAACATGAAAGGCCAGTCAACAATGAGAAAATGATCAAACTCACTAATAGTCAAGAGTAAAGGTGTCAGGATGGCCGAGTGGTCTAAGGGACTTAGTCAAGAGTATAAATAAAATAAGATTTAATTTCACACCCATAAGATCAGAATGGTAATATCAGGTATTGTTAAGGATATGGAGAAATGGGAACTCTCTTGCACTGTTTATCTGTAGATTGGTAGACACATACACATACACACACACACACACACACACACACACACACACACACACGGTAACAATTTGATGAATTTTGTAAGGTTAAATATGCACATTTCTATAACCCAGTTACTCCATTTTTGAGTATATATCCTTGAGGAATGTCATTCAAATCACTAATAGTAAATGAATGTCTAAGTCATTTTAGTGGGTCACAGCAGTTTATTGACCAGCAGTTTATTTTAACAAAATAGAACAAATCAGAAAATATGAAAATATAATGTAAGAATTTGTGAAACTTTGTTTTGTAAAACTTGTTTCAGGTGTGTGCATGAGTGTGTGTGTGTGTCCTATCATATTAAATATATTTCCTATTGTGTGTCATGATTTTAAAAAACGTTAAAAATCACTGCTCTAGAATAGAGGTCAATAAGCTTTTCCTTAAAGGGTCAGAGGGTAAACATTTTAGGCTCATGGCCCATAAAGATTCTGTTGCAACTACTCAACTCTGTTGCTGTAGCAGGAAAGAAGCCATAGAAGATATGTAAATGAATGGGCATGTGTTCCAATAAAACTTTATTTACCAAAAAAATGGCCAGCCTGTGAGTAATAGTTTACTTATTCCTGTTCTTGAACAGCCTTGTCCAATAGAAATATAATACAACTCATATATGGAATCTAAATTTTCTAGTAGCCACATAAAAAATATAAAAGAAATAGGTAAAACTGGTTTTAGTACTATATTTAACATAATATATTTAAAATTTTATCATTTTAGCCTGTAATCAGTATAAAAATATTAATGACGTATTTTACATTTTAAAAAAATTCTAAGTCTTCAAACTCTGGTATGCATTTTACCTTTATAGCACATTGCAACACAGACTAATCACACTTGAAACTAGTGGCAACCACACTGTACAGTGAAGATCTAGAGAAATTATCATACATGGAGTAGGGTGTTCACAGTACTACAAATAGCAAAAATAGAACTGTAAACAGTTCGACTGTCCATCAACAAAGAAGTGGATAAATTGTGGTATAGTACTATAATGAAATACCTTATAACAGTCAAAAATAAATGAGCTGGATTTTAATTTATGAATATTAAAAAAATTCTTAAAATACTGAGTACTAAAAGTAGTTTACAAAAGGCTCAAGTACAGTGTGAAACCATTTACATATAGTTTAGAAGCATATAACTGGCTGGGTGTGGTAGTTCATGCCTATAATCCCAGAACTTTGGGAGGCCGAGGTGAGAGGATTGCCTGAGCGCACAGGTTCGAGACCAGCCTGGGCAATTTGGCAAGACCTCATCTCTACAATAAATAAAACAAATTAGCTGGGCGTGGTGACATGCCTCTATGGTTCTATGGTTCCAACTACTTGGAAGGCTGAAACAGAAGCATCACCTGAGCCCACCAGGTCGAGGCTGCGGTGACTGTCAGTGTGCCACTGCACTCCAGCCTGGGTGACAGAGTGAGACACTGACTCAAAAAAAAAAAAGAAAAAAGAAAAGAAACCTATAACTATACTTACAGTATAGATTACATAATAAAGTATATATGATATCAATTACCAGAGAGTGATTGCTCTGGATAGCAATGGGAAATTGAAATGGGAATTGAATAGGGAGCCATCTTCCTCTGTAGCAGCAATATTTAATTTTTTAAAAATCTAAAACTAATGTCACAATGTTAATATTTGAAAAGTCTTAGAGGGATACCTGCATGTCATTTAAGTTTTTCTTTGAACTTCATTGCATACCTGAAATATTTGATACACTGAAAGTGAACATTCCTAGAAGGAAAGCAAATCACCAGGGCCTGAATGAGCCCAAGGATGGCCACTTCTACTGATATGCTGTTGAGCCTCAGAGAGGCAAGGAACACATGGAATAACCTGGTGGGATC